AGGGACAGTCTCAGGGATTCCTACTAGTGGTGCCATTTATTTTCTCCTTTTCCCCATTTTCATGGAATGATATAAACTGCTTGTTCCCCAAGCGAAATATAAGAAGAGCACTGTGTGACCTGTGGCCATGTCTAGAGACCGCACCCAGCCTCAGTTTCCTCCTTTGTACACTAACCATACCAATATTGCCTGCACCTCAGAGCACTATGTGGTCCTGACAGACCCTCACCTGCTTTTAGGGTGGTGACTGGCAGGGGTGACCGCAGAGGATGGGCGGCGATGCCTCGGAGTGAGGACAGACCTGTCTACACAGCACTTCAGTTCTTTTACCTAATCCACACACAGGGAAGATGGTTTTCCTTAGAAACAAGGCTCTGAAACTCAGGGAGTCACTGAACTTCCAAGCACTATTGGGAGCAAGGTAAACTGGTACTGCCCACTTTGGAAAGAAAATGGGCACATCTTCTAATGTCCAGCATGCATGCTCTGGGACCTAGCAAGTGCCCTCCTGGATCCACAGCCCAGACTCTTCTGTACAGATGCTCACTGAGCATGCGGCTATGCTCCCCTGGAAGGACCCAGATGCCCAGTCACAAATGGAACCCCTCAAAGCAACCAGTCCTCCATAGGTGAGTCAGAGGATCAAAACCAAACTGCAGGCAGGGCAGTCCTATGGGGTCTAAGCAGTGACTTGGGTGGGGGTAGGCATTGTGGGTACCTGGAAGGCTGGGGTGCAAGGTTTTGACCTGGATGCTGGTTACATGGCAGCGGCATGCTTGTGACACGCATGATTACATGTGTGTATCGCATAGTGGCTATGTGTTATATCGAGGTCACATATATATATTTCAGGGTGGCTATCCTAACAACAACAACATGTGTTACACAGTGGCGGTTATGTGTGCATGTCACACAATAGTTATATACATGTATGCACCAAAGCCAATGTAATGGATAAACAGCCACATGTTCTCATGATGAATACATGAATGTTGCATGCGTATGTAACTTGATCACACTGGGTGTCACACGCTGGTCACATAGTGTGTTCAATTCCTGGAAACTCACTGAGCTATTCACTTTTTAATGTTTCTCTATTAAGTCTCAACGGAAAGTTAGACATAAATAACGCACCCAAATGATGGCACAAAATTAAATGTTGACAATCTTGTTTACTGCTTTCCTCTTTCTAGAAAGTATTTAAGAAAGCTACCAGAAACTGAACATGCTTCTCTAAACGGAGATATGAGTCCTGGTGTGGCGCTGTGGGATCACAAGTGAGTGTGAACCACAAGGTCAGCAGTTCAAATTCACCAGCTGGTCCTTGTAAACCCTCTACAGGATTGTTAAGAGTTGGAATCAACTTGATGGCATGTAACAACAACAATCTGAAATAAGAAAGTCTCTTTTTCACAGTGTCACACCACTAAGGCAAGGAGGAAGTGGACCTGGGGAAGACTAGTTCTGAACGTCACCTCGAAAAGGGCAAACACCAACTCTACTTATCGGGGGCTGACAGATACAGGACTTACGGAGGAATGAGAAGAACTAACTAAGGGTTTACCATCGTCATTTTCAACAGACACTTGTCGTTGCTGTTCAGTGCCGTCCGTCAAATTCTTTCTAACTCAGTGATTGTTCCTAAGGTTTCTGAGGCTTTCAATCCTCGTGGGAGCAGAGAGCCTCACTTTCTCGCGTGGCGTGGCTTGTGGGCCCTAACCGGACAGCATGCGCATCTCGTGCACTCTTACTACTTGCTAGTCATAAAGCACACACATGTGGGCACATGCATATCTGGTGAGAACTCAACCCACAGTCATGGTGAAGAATTCCTGACAACTGTTAACAGGCCATCAAGGGGCTCTGGTGTTGCAGTGGTTAAAGCGCTCCCTCAAACCAGAAGTTCAGTGGTCCGAACCCACCGGCTGCTGTGTGGGAGATAGAGGCGGCAGCAGCCTTGCTCTATATAGATGACAGCCTGGGAAAACCTGGGGCTGTTCCACTCTGCCCTACTGGGGCCTCAGGCAGTGGGTTGGGTTTGGGTTTGGAGCAGGATATGCAGGGGTTAACCTAGTTCTACCACCCCATGAATTCATGGTGACTGATGAGGAGACAGGATGTAAGGAGGGCAGGCCTCCTGAGTCACAAATCAGGCCCGGAAGTATGAGCAGTACTTTCCCCATGACTCTGCTGAACAAGCCGTATCATGAAAAGCCAGAGCGTTCCACCAACATGGAGCCCGGGGAGACACGAGGGCTCCCGGGATCACCGCGGTCCACTGACAATTGTGCCTTTTAAGGAAGACAGAGGGAAAATGGGATTTGGGAAACACTCATTTCTTCATTCAAATCTTAGAGATAATAAAAGATGAGAAAAAAAACTCCAAAGCAAAAAACAGAATAAAGAACCTACTTAATTACTGTGATACACTGTTGAAGTGCAAATGTACAAGCAAGCCATTGCGTTCCCAAGTTAAATTTCATTGGCCTATTTGGTATCCATAAAAGAAACATTCAGGATAGAGACAAGCTCCGTTTCTAAAGGAGGACCGCTCTCCCACCTCTGCTGTGTGTGAGCACGCAGAAACGCTTTCAGTGTACGTGCTCTACGTCCTCACTCAGTGACAGTCCGCAGGCCAGAAGGGGCAGGCGGCACCGACGTGAATATGACGACCCCTGTCCTCAAGGAGCTTCAGTCTAGTAGGGGAGGGCACGTACTAGACTGTGAGCTCCTCGAGGGCAGGAAGAGTGTCGCAGTCCTCTTTGCCTTGTGGGTGCCCACTGGGCCTGCTGGTGCTCAGGGACACGAGGGAGCCACCATCTTGGCAGCAGAGGCAAGAGGTGGTGAGGAGGCTGCAGCCAGCGGAGCAGGCAACTCTGACCCCTGGGCCAGAGTGTGGAAGGGCCACGAGAAAAGAGGTCCTAATTCGCACCCTTAGAGGCCTTTACTGCTCCAGGATCCAGATGGGGAAAGAGGCTGGGTAGAGGGGCACTGGATCTGTGGAGCCTGTAGTAAGGGCTCTCGGGCTGCTAGGAGGTCCTGGGGACAGAAGGGAGGGACACAGAGGACCCAAATATGGAGAGCAGAGGACCCAAATATGGAGAGCAAGACAAAGGTTCCATTATGACCTGTTGGTGTTGTCTTAGAGAAGGCACCAGCTTTGCTTTTTTGGATAAACAGACAACAATGGGAAACCCAGGTCTGGGACTTGTAAAAAAAAAGAAGGGGAGGCCTGAAAGGAAGGCTGGGCAGAGGAGAGAAACAGCCACAGGAAAGAGACGGGATGAAGCGGGGAGAGCAGTGAGTCATGTTGGGCGAAGGCAGGCCAGGAGGCTAGCAGAAGCCCAGGACACCACCTGTCAAATTCTGTGGAAAAGTCAAGGAGGAAGAACATAATTTCTATCTTTTAACAAGTCAAGAAATCAAGCATTTACAAAAAACCTAGCTCTAATTACAAGAGAAGTAAGAAACCAGGAGCTTGTACTTGACGGGAACTTGAGAGACAAGAAAGCTCTCTAAAACAGACTTGTCACATGAAAGGTCCAGCCGTGTTCTGTGGAGCCCTAGGGAGTGGAACCTGAACAGCAGTGAGGGTCACAGGGACAAGAGAGCGCTCTGCCCCCCTGTGTGTTCAACACACAACACTGTCAGTAATGGTTTCCTTCTCTGCGCCTCTTGAAGGACATAAACTCTCAGGGTTTGTTCACTGCTGGATTTACAGAACCCACTTAGAGAAACAAAAGTTGGTAACAACTACTTAAGGCTCTTTCCTACGTCCACCACACTGTGAAGTTGTTAAGTGTGCTCAAGTTGGTGCCGACTCACAGTGACCCTGGCTAGGGTTTCCGAGGAGTGGCTGAAGAGCTTGAACCCAACACCTTGCAGTTCCAACTGACCTTGCAGTACAGTGCATTAACCCACAGCACCACACCTGAACTCTAGCACGAGTCCTGCTTACTCGGAGAGAGATTCTCTCACCCTGTACAAGGTCAAGCGCTGAATGAAGAAGCTGGGCGAGGAGACCCATCAGGACTTTTGGAGCCTGAGAGGCAGTGATTTTATGGAGAAAGACTATAATTCTGAAGTAACAGACATTCCACAGAATCAGGGGAGCACTGAAATTGTGGACCCAAGTCTGCGGTGGTGCTGTGCCCTGAGGTTGCAGGAAACGATGGTTCTTATGAAAGCACAGATGTTTGTGGCGCACTGATCTTAGCACTGTGGACACAGAACCGAGTAAAGCGTCTGGGATCCTGCCAGCAGGGAGGACGCTCTTGCAACCCTTGTGCAGATCCACCCTCAGAGTACTACACCATGCCCTCAGGAGATGGGGTTCACAGTGCCTGGCACACTAGAGGGCCCCTAGGGGGGCTTCCTATGTTACAACCTAGGTCTTCAAAGGGCACAGAATGATGGCTGTCTCTGTGAGGAAATTTCCTGAAGAACCATCTCTGATAGGTCCTTAGGAACAAGGAGTTTGCCAAGTGGCACAAGTGGGAAGGAAGGCCCCAGAGAAATAGCCCACAGACGCGCATTTAGAGAACAGTATGTGGTGAGTGCAAACATAGATGGGCAGTGGGGAAACTGGATGTGGTGAGGGGCTGTATGAGATGAAAGTGGACGGGCAGTGGGGAAACTGGACGTGGGGAGGGGCTGCAGGAGAGGCAAGTGGACGGGCAGCGGGGAAGCAGACGTGGGGAGATGTGGCTGGAACACAGGGTTCCAGGGAGAGACAGGTGTGGCGGGAGATATGAGTGTGAGAAGGGTTAACGCACAAGGGCACTGCTCTGCACCTCTAAGTCACACAGAACCGGGGAGAGTTTGGGGAGCGCTTGGACACAGATGTGGAGGTTCACGTCTAGACCTGAGCTGAGCTCCAGCAAGGCCAGGTGTGTACAACAACATGCTGGGCCGGGGCCGCACGGGTGAAATGACCGCAGGCACTACCACGACAGACGGGGAAAAACAGCCGCACCTGCTCCTGTGCACCTGGCTCCTACCTGAGCTGAGCTTTCAGTTCAGTAAACCTGGGCCGCCTGCTGGGGTCATAGGCCCAGCACTTCGTCATAAGGCTGTAGAGGGTGGGAGGACAATTTGGAGGCATTGGTAATCGCTCCCCGTTTTCAATCCGACCAATCACATCGTTGTTCTTCACGCCTTGAAAAGGCTTCACCCCGTGCATCAGAATCTCCCACATGCACACACCTGTGAGGGGGACGGAAAGACACCAGTGAGTCAGGCCTGAGGGCTGAGCCCTCATTGGAGGCTACCTGCACGGCTGGTCCCAGAGCAGTGGCCATGAGAGCCGGACAGCAGAACTGAGGCTACAGGACACCACCTCCCACCCAAGTCTCCATCCTTAGGGAAAACTCCCTTCTCCTCTAGTATGGGGATTGTTCAGAAAACCATCTCAAGGGAGTTCGATGAGGCAGCATGAAAAGTGGAATGAATTTTCAATGTTTTCCCGACTATGGCCTCCCTTGGCAAGGCCACCATTCTCCACACAGGACATTTCTGAGCCCCTGGGGTCCCCACAGCACCAACCTGCACCCTGCCCTTGGGAAACCAGACACTTTCTCAGAACCAGCAGACCATGGAGGCGTTGCAGGCTCTTGAGTACAACTACTGTACTCAAGGGAGTCACACACATCTCTGCGTTCTCAGTGCGTATAAAGAGCAATGCTGACGCTCCACTGCAGTCTACGAAGTGTGCAAGTGCACTAAGGAGAAGCTGAAACTGTGCAGAGTCAACAAATGGGTCACAGACACAACATGAGCACGTGCTGCTGGGAAAAACAGTGCCCACAGAGTGCTTGGCACAGGGCTGCCCTGGACCTTCTGGTTGTACAACACACCAAGTGCTACCTGATCTTCTGAGCAAAACAAAGCATCCACCCTTGACACCAGTAACTGAGAAGGCCGGCTGAGCAGAGGGCATGGCGACGGTCCTCCAAGAGACACATAGTGCCCCCTGGACGGCTGTCTGCCCAACACCACAGCACACTTTGCTTATGTGACAGTGCTACCGCAAGTTCACGCTCCCTCCTCCTTCACAAACACCGCTCTCGTCAGGCACACACCACCCATCAGTTTCAGATTCTCCCCTGGGGAAAGCTCCTCTCACCTCACCTTCCGTCACCAAACGCACACTGTGTAACTGGTCCTTGAGAAGAGGAGCTGTGCCTACTTTTTCTCATGAGTAAGTGCAGTGAGTTCCATATGAGACAGCATCTGGTAAACACAACGCCTCAGTTCTGTTCTCACCAGAAACGACAGTACTGCCAGTAATGGGGAGATAGGTACTGGGCATGGGCTGACATGTCCCTGACATGCGTCTTTGCAACTAACTGACACACATTAATCCTATACTGCTTTAAATACTGCGGTTTAGCTAGCTTCAGAAGCCACTCAGAAGCGTCTTCTGTGGGCCGCTGAGTCAATTGTGATTCATAGAAATGCCATGTACCAGAGTAAAAGTGCCTCATGCTAAGAGCTCAGAGACTCTAAGAGTGAGGGAGTAGATCTTTTCTCCTGTTCTGTCAGCAGACAAGTGCTAACACATGCCACCAGGCTTTTTCCAAGGATGGTGAGACGTAGCATCACTTATGTGACCAAGAAACAGAGAAGAGGCTCTCTCTTTACACGGAAATGGTTTGACTCTTACTGCAGGACGCATCAGCCGAACACCAACGACAGAGTGCAACCGATTCCCAGGTGTCCAGACGGGGGAATGTGGGAAATGGGCACCTCCCAGGCTCTGAGGCACGGAGTGCCCTTGAGAGAGCCAGTGACTTGCTTGGAGAGCTATAGTAAAGGTGGAGGTTTTGGGATTTGAACCCACATCAAGCTGGCTCTGGAGCCAAGCATGTTCCTTTGCCTCACTTGTACCAGCTAGGGTGCAGAATGGCTGTTATAAACCAACAGCAACACAATAAAACATTAAAAAAAAAAAAAAACTACAGCAAATACATGGAAAAGAAAAAGGAATGGCTATACATAAAGTGTGCAATCCGGGTGTGGGTTGTAGGATAAGCACTGGACTGCAAGGTCGGTGGGTCAAACTCAGTAGCTGCTCCTTGGAAACTCTACACAGGGTCCCTATGGGTCAGAATCAACTTGATGGCATTTAACAACAACAACATATACTTAACATAGATACATACATAACATACAAAGTGACTCTTGTCTGTAAGATGGGGAGGAAAGTACTCTCCCAGGACCTCTGCTCTGCAGAGATGCTGTAGCAGCGGCAGGGAAAAAGCGCGAGGCAGGCAGCCAGGGAGGGGGACGAGGAGGCAGAGGGAGGGGTATCAGGTTACACAGTCTAAGCAGAAGGAATGCTCTAGGAAAGGCAGGCTGAGAGCCGCGATGTGCCTGTGTACAAGAGTAACTCCCAGGATGAACAAGCAGCTTACGCAGCGAGGAGTAAGTCGGCCAGAGCCTGACGCCAAGGGGGCGGTCAGTGTTAGGAGCAGGAGAAGCCAGTGGGAAGGACAAAAAAGTGCGCCAGAGGAAGAGAAGTCTCGGCCGGAGGTGAGGCCTGAGGTGGCCAGGGAGGCTGCAAGAAGTCACCAAGTACACTGGATGCCAGGGCCAGCCTGGGCACAGGCTGGAGGGATGAACAAGGTGGGAAGGGGAGCAAAGGAGGTGGCCAGGTTAGGTAAGGCAAGTCAACCTACATACAGGTTTGTAGAAAAAACCAGAAAAAAACCTTCTCAAACACTCACCAAACATCCACACGTCGCTAGCTGAGGTAAAACGTCGGAAGTTGATGGACTCTGGAGCCATCCATTTGATTGGCAGCTTTCCTTTGGAAGCTAGAAGACAAGGTGTGGAGAGTGAACCCGGCCTCTTTAAAGACTACAGAGAGCCGAGGCCGTCCACGTCACAAACTTCACCTTCTGACGCCCTGGCGCTGGTGCTCTTGGGGTGCCACTGGAGTGGTGGGGGTTCAGACTGGGGAAAGGCATAAAGGGACAGGTGTCTACCCCTCCATGGAGAGGCCAGGCCCACCAGAGGCTGTACCTGCAGCTATCACATAAGGTTCCACAGTGAAGAAAGCAGAAGCCCATCTTTGGGTGGGACCTTGTTTTACAAATGACCTTCTAGTCATATGCCGTCATTGGAATGGCTGAAACCCTCCTCTTTAAAGGCCTAAACGACGATGTACCATCAGGGGAAATGCCCCCAGACCCAGCACACTGCTTCAGTCTCTGAGTCAGCAGAGGAATGAGCTTGCAGCACCTTCCTGCAGGGATCTTGTTTTAGGGGGCCCAGAGGTGTCCCTCCCCAACACGGGGCCTCACAGCCACACTGGGGAAAGGACAGGTGGACGAAGAGGTGCTGGCGGGGGGGGGCACTGAAGGGCGCCGGGCAAGAGTGTCAATTGTATTTACGTAGGTCTCCAGGCAGAGATGAGGTTCTATGTTCTATACGGGGTCACCAGGTATGGAACTGCCTTGACGGCACACAGCAACAACAGCCAACCCAGCACTCCCACACTGTGTGCTGAGGGTTTCTGATCCTGCAGTGTGAGAGCCTCAGAACCCGGAGCTGACGCAACAACCGACAGTCAACTGCTCCTGCGCCATTGTTGGAACACAAGCCTTCCTCCAGTGACGCGAGCTCTGCCCCTTACTCAGCAAGTGACTGGGTATATCACCTTACACTTCTTTTGGGGAAACAAACACAGTGACGATTCCAAGTCTGTTCTTACTGATTGTTCAGAATCCTTACCTTTGTAGTAAGTACTGTCTTCCATATACCGGGATAATCCAAAGTCTCCTAATTTTACACAATCAGTTGAGGATACCAGAACATTCCGAGCAGCAATGTCCCTAAATAATAAAGAAATTAGGGTAATATATTTTTAACATAAGAAAACACAAAAAAAGAAACTCAAGCTCATCTAAATTTTATTGCCATGGTGGTGGTGTGGTGCTTGTGTGCTGTGGAGTTGGTTCCGACTCACAGCGACCCTGAGTAGGGTTTCTGATGTAAATTTGTGAGGGAGCAGAAAGCCTCATCTTTCTCCCATGGAACGGCTGGTAGATTAGAGTTGCTGACCTTTTCAGTTAGCAGTACACGTTGTAATCCACTATGCTACTGGGCAACTTTATTCCCACAGTTTATTTCAAAGAGGGCTTCTGTCTATACAACACAAACAGGAGGATCTACTATAGCTCTATACAGAGCTCTGGTTACAAATCAGGCTGTGAACTGCAAGGTCAGCAGTTCAAAACTACCAGCTGTTCCATAGGAGAAAGATGAGGCTTTCTGTCCCCGGAAAGATTTACAGGGTCACTATGACTAGGAACCAACTCCACGGGATACCACCACCACAACCACTATAGATTTTAAAAGGTATTTACTTTTAAAAATTATAAACACATTTCCTTTGGGCACATATTTACTCATTAACACGACTGTTATTATTTCCAATGGTATTTCAAGTACATTCTTAAATAATGAAAATGTTTCATGCTTTTTATAAATAACATTAATAACTGCACTAACAAATACGTTACTGATACATGATCATTTCAACAGTGACCAGATATTCTAACGAAAATGCGGCTTGCATTCTGTAAAACAATACCGCTCAGCTGCATTAATTGGTAAAGACACTGCTCACTGAACATGGCTTGCTGACCCACGTAAATGTTACCTTTACAACACTTGCAAGTGCTTTAGCATGTGCTGTCCCTTGGAACGTTGGGAAACCATCAGGAAGAAGGACTCAACGCAGTGTTTGTAGACACACACTCAGACTGTACAAGAGGTGGGGCAGACGTCACTGGTGATGCCAGGAAGGCCCAGGTTAAGAAGCTCTCAGGAATGGTGTCCACACACACTTGTATGCGCACTGGGCAGAGTGCTTTGCTCTGACAGGACCAGCATGGTGGATTCCAGTGGTGCCTCTGTGGCTCCGCTTTCCCTGCTTGGCAGGCAGGCAGGCAGGCTGGCTGCCAGTTTCTTTCATGCCCCTGAGCTTCTCATCTTTATTTTAGCACCACTGTGCCATGCTGTTTGGTAAGTGTCATCGAGTCAGGTCCGACTCATGGCAACTCTGTCTAGGGTTTCTGAGGAGCAGCTGGTAGGTTTGAACTATCGCCCTCACGGTTAGCAGTGCAGTGCTGATCCTACAGAGCTGCACCAGGACTCCTGTAGGTGCTTTTTTAAAGGAGCACAGTACCTCCAGGTGGTAGACATTCCTTTTTTTGGTAGACAATCCTTTGGAGCCAGTCTGTAATTTAACTACAAGATGGCTGTGAATGTGAGCTTTGCCCATTCCATTCCTTGCTGCTCTAAGGCTGTGAACCTTACCTGTGTACAAATCTTTTGCTCTCTAGATACGCGAGAGCAGTACTGAGCTGGTAGGCGTACAGGATCAGAGAAGCCAGATCCAAGTTGTACTTCCTTACTTGCAAAAATGACCTCAGCTTTGGAGACAGTGACCAACATGAAAAGAATGAGGGCAGAAAACAGGAACCATTAGTAAACATGCGTCCTTCATGTCAATGCTGTTCAAGTCACACAGGTGTGAAGAAAAGAAGGACTTCCCATGCTCCCCAGCCCCTCGGAAACAGGACAGTCATGGAAATTATGGCTAGTTGTTCTTTTTTATGGGAATCTATTGTAAAATCACAATTCTTAGGACTACAGTTTACGTGAATGTCTGAAAAAACCCCCACATAGAATGTGTTTGAAGGGAAAGAGTGAAAGCGCAGCGCAAAATATATAGGTAATTATTACAAACACCCGGAGAACAAAAAATATCTAGTTCTATGTAAACAAAGCTGATACACAACCCTAGGCAGTTCACCTCCACTTGAAACCTCATTCCACTTGAACACGCCCAAGGTGGCGGCTAGGAGGAAGAGGCCAGAAGTGACGTTGGAGATGCAGAAGATAAAAATGGGTACACAGAGAGTACTGAACCTGCTGGACTCAGTCCCTGCTCAGCTCAAGACTGGCATCCCTGACTCTAGGAAACAATGAGTGAGAAACACCTGGCAATGTCTTCATTCACATGTCCTACAAACGCAAAGGCAGGAAACATTCATGGGTGCTCCCTGCACATGGGGCCTAGGGCCCGCCCTGGATGCGGGGGGGAGGGGGCACCTAACTAGTGCATCCTGAGAACTTGTGTTGAGCAAAGACAAGGGGTGTGTGTTGCAAAGAGTTTCACGCCCAAAGTTCTATCACTGAATTCCAGTACAGGAAGCGCAGTGGTCTGGGGGCCAACTCCCTACAGGCAGCTCAGTGGTCATTCTCACATCTCCGCCAAGGCCCAGAAGCACCTGCAGAGGGCTGGGTCCAAGAATCTGCATTTGTCACTGGTTCCCTGCTGGAGTAGATGCTGTGCCTTTTCTATGAAAGCTCTCAATATTCTGGGGATGGCGTGGCACCCATCTGTTCACACACATTTGAAAAAGGACCTGTGACTAACGACAATTGGTCTCTGAGACACTGAGAAGCATATCTTCCACATTTTCTTACACACTGCTTCAGTTTAGCTAACTTCTACTACTTTCTTTCATCCTGCCATCAGTGGGCTCTCTGTCCCTTCAGGACAGACAGTGGATGGACATCATGAGTGCCCTGGGCCCACTGGCATCAGCACTAAGCCAGGGATCATGGGAATCCGGTACCTACTGATGCAGTTTCCCACAGACACAGGCTCTCACGCCGCCACAGTCAACTGCCCCCGCCCACCAGCCAGAGGGAAGGTGGGCAGTACCTCCCCAAGAGTGCACAGCTCCATGATGATCCAGACAGGGTTCTCTGTGATGACACCAATCAGCTTCACAATGTGAGGGTGCTCAAACTGACGCATGGTCACTAGGAGGAAAGTGCTGCGGTTACTCTTCAGCAAACCCTCTCAGCTTCTTGAAGCACCGGGCCCAGAAGGTGAGCTACAGTGGTGGGACTACCAGCCATTGTCCAGGGGACAAAAGCTCGCGAGTAAAGCATGAACCAAACCTTATCTTCTCCTCTATGGGTAACAACCTAGGCTTTCCCCAGAAAACCCACTCAGGTTAGACTGTGACTCAGTCAGTAGATGCTACTCTCTCGACAAAGCCAGCCCGAAGGCCAGCATCCTGTGCTTTACCTGAAGGAGGCGGGGGGTCAGGGAACGTGGCATGTCCCTCACAGAATGCTGGACATGATGGCCACGGGTATTCTAAGTCAGAGTGGCTTCTGACCCCACTGCTGTGACCCTGCTACGCAGGGCTCCCAATGACCAGGAGAGGGCGCCGCCCACACACGTACAGGCCGAGTGTATGCGGCAACTTAAGCGGTTGTCAAGTGCGTTGAATAGGTTCCAATCCCCATGAACCTTGTATGGGGTTTCTCAGAGAGGCTGATGGGTCGGAACTACCGACCTGGCGGTTAGTTACATGGTTAGCTACAGTGCCACACGGGGACTCATGTACCTGAGCCCGAGTGCATACTGATAGGAGCTGACAGCAGGCTACACAGTAAGTCTAAGGACAAGTTTGGTGGTTCCCAAAGCCTTTGTCTCTCAGACTTGTCACACAGGAAAGAAAATACACGCTTGTCTGGGGACAAGCAGGGGTGGACATTAGAACTGTAGCAGAAGCAATGATCTTTACACTCACTACTGTATTATAAAATAACATGTGTGTAAACACTGGAAGGAAAAATGGTCAAAGACTAGGATTACAGGTGTCCTGTGCAGGCACGCATTTGGGCCATTTCGGCCTCTCACTGTCTTTGAGGGATTTTACTACTATTACTGGTGTTAACTGCCATGAAGTCAGTTCTGACTCACAGGAGCTTGGTATAGGGTTTCCAAGGAGCAGCTGGTAGGTTTGAACTGCCAACCTGTTGTTCGCAGTCCAGTGCTGATCCTATAGGGCCACACCAGGAATCTACTTGATGAGTTGCAGAAAATTGCTAACAGGGTATATAATTCTTGTCTGTACAAAGCAATATATAAATGTGTCAGCCTTGGTGCAATGCAATTAATTTTATGCACCTGTTGGCAAACACATTTCCAAATTCTGATCTCCTTACCGACTTTCTGTTTGCTAGTGATATCACTAGCTGCCCTCCCCTTTTCACGCTGTCTGTGGAAGAACACAGGGCAGCCCGTTGTCATTCTGATGACAGGGTTCCTGGTCCTCCATTGATTGTGTCCTCCACAGAGACTGCATACTCCTGGCTCTGGAGCGTTGGCTGGAGTGGCTTTCCCCACAGCTACTCTCAGGATGCAGCCTGCCCTCAGGTGGGGGAACAGGGCACAGACAGGCCTCTCTGATCCTGCTCTGAGCACCTCACATGCTGCCAATGCACCCACAGGTCACCTGACAATCTTGTCAAGTTGCTTCCTATTCACAGGAGACAACCCGAATGCCTACGGTCTCCTTCCCGCCCCAAGACAGTCCATGACATGTTAAGTGCCATAGAGTTGACTCTGAGTCATCGTGACCATGTGTAGGGTTTTCCAAGGAATGGCTCGAGAATTTGAACTGCTGACAGTGGTTCAAACTGACCTGGAGGTTGAGTGCTTATTCTATAGCACCACAGACAGCAGCTTTGAGAACCAAACCCACAGTGTTTACAACTAGACTTTAGCTTGCCTGATTCAATTGCTTATGTATGAGGAAGTTTCAAGAAGTTTGTGGAAAAAGTGAATGAAAAAGATATCAGAATTGTCCCCAGAAACTTTTGGATGCCACTTCGTATGTTATGATCTCTTGGATACAAAACTGGGGCCCCCAGGATGCTCATTCTCACTTTCAGTTCATTTCTTCCGTTTCCCGCTAGCTTCGTGCCATCCTGGCTTTCCCAGGCCTCTGCACCTGCTGTGAGGAAATTGCTGTAAGTGCCCAGGAGCCCAGGGCAGAGGGCCCTGTGGTCAGTGAGACAGGTGCTCCAAGAGGAGCTAAAGACCAGCAGGCTCCGAGGTCCCACTCAGGCCCCTCGGCCACCACCACTGCTTGTCAATAAAGTTTTATTGGACCACAGCCTATTCTGTATTCTTTCTGCTGCCAGCTGGATCGCTGTGGTAGAGCCCTTGGCTGGGCCTGCACAGTCTCAAGAATGACCATCAGTCTAGCCCGGACAACACTTACCTCCCTGTCTAGAGCCCACTAAAGAAAGCCCTGCAGAGGTCTGCATGTGCCACACCTAACACGGATTCCTGGCGTGGCGCTGCAAGGTCAGCAGTTCAAACCCATCAGCTGCTCAATGGAAACCCTATACATGATTGCTATGTGTTGGAACCTACTCAAATGGCATACAACTACCACCACTACCACCATAGCACACACATAGTACCATCAGCACACCTGACAGAAGGCACACATAACCACCACCACAACACAGCTAACAGAGCCCCCTGAAGGAAGCACTGAGCTCCAACCACACCCCCGTGGGACCCCAGCTCCCGCGCCTGCATGCCATTACGCTCAGTTCAGATAAACTAAGTGAGGGAGAGACCTGTATGGTAGGAAACATACAATGCACATGGAGACCAGCACAGGTAGGGCAGGCAGGCTGTCAGGTGACAGTGCAGACAGTCTCGGTCCTGCGACTAGGAGTGGGTAAAAGATGCGGTGTGGTCGGGGTGATGAAGGACAGAGAATGCACTGGGGCCCCCAGGGAAGCAGGTGTCCACTTGATGGACACAGTGAAGGACAGCACGCCTAATCCCTCCATGTGTCTGTTGATGGTCTTCTCTGGGGCACGAGGCACACGCTGTCTGGGGACCTGGGTATGGGGCAGGAGCAGGGGACACGTCCCCCTGATTTATTTAATTACCAGGCACACAAGGGAGCCGGACAAAGTCTGTACACAGTGGAATAAACTTTCTGAAGGTCCCTCATACTGAACCCTAGTACTCACAAAGCAAAGGGAACACTATGGGAGACATGCTTTACGTGTGTGGTCAGAAAAGGTTCACTGTGGAGGGACACAGGGACTCGAGCTGGGGGCAGGGAATGACACTGCGCAGGAAGTGTTCAGACGGTGACAAGTCAGAGAGGCAGCCTCACCCCTGCAGAGTCTGCCGCCACTTGTCCTGACACCTCTGGGCTCCAGGCCAAGGGGCACCTCTAACCTGGTTCTCATCAGTGCAGGGGCTGTCAGTAAGGTCCAACAGCGCATGTCTGACTCAATCAGAAGCAGCTCTGCTACCACAGGGACCGTGGAGTCCTGGGCTGAGGCCGTAGGGTAAGTACTGGACTACTAACTACTAGACACTCTTCGGAAACTGACACAACGGCACATGACAACATCACACATGTAAAGTCAAACTGAGTTTCACCGAAGTGTGCACTTACATGCTTCCTGAAGGAATTTCTCTCTCACGCTGTCCGAAGTACAGTTCTTACATGTTTTAATGGCCACTGCCAAAGCTGGATTCTCCTGCGTTACAAAATCATACAGTCACCCACACGTGCACACAAAGCCAGGCTCTGTACATGAAGCCCAGGGCATGCTCAGGGACACTGGTTTGTTCTGCAGCTCTGTGAGTTCTGGACCAGAGAGGATCCTGTGAGGGGAATCTGCAAAGGACTGCACAAACATGCAGGGAGCACTACACACATGGCATTCTGTGTACACGTGGATGGAGTACTGCGAACACAGAACTGGGTACACCTGGAGAGAATACTGTATATACAGGAGAACTGTGTACACACAGAATACT